AAATATATTATATAAATTTTATATTATATAAATATATTAATTTGATATATTTATGAAGATTGGATTTAAAATATTAGAATTATTTTTGATAATAATGAATATGTGTATTGAATGTATATAATTAATTGGCAAAAAATTGAAATAATTGATTTGTCAGGTGGTACAAGTGAAGCTCAATGGGAAGATGTTACTGGTTCAACACCATTGACATTTATGAATGATCGTGTCTCATTCACGACAACAGTTTCAGCTAGATTTTGGTTAATGGATTGTAGAAATATTAGTGAAGTTCCAAAAATGGCGACTGAATTATACAAGGAATCATTGTTTGTACCTTACATTACGAAGTACGTATTTTTCTTATATAGATTATTGTATCTTCTTAAAAAAAAAAAAATATTCAACTAACAAAGATTTTTCTTTTTTTTTTTTAATTAACAGTTTCGTAATATATTCGAAACGAATGGACACTCTTGAAGCTACGTTAAGGATATTGTGCATGACCGATGGCAAGGAAGGAATGCACACATTGGAAAGACAAGAAGAATTTTTAGAAATTGTTAAGAGTCGTGACGTTGAGGTAATTTATAAAAATCCCCTATTTTCATCATCTTTTTATATATTTTATTATTTTATTATATATAGTCCTGACCATTACCCATTTCAGTGCAACTATTTTGTTGATTACATCAGTGATCTTCATTTCTAATTTTATATCTCAGGGAAATCCCCTAGATCTCTAGTGCAATATCTAGTGCATTATTCTCAATTTATTAACATCATTTACTAGCTAGGGATTGTTTCTTCAGCTTGTAAATGATGACAGGTATAATATAGGTGTCAAAAACTATTCTTTTTCAATTTATAAATTGAAAGTATAGTTGAAATATTAGAATAGGATGAGTTAGAACGTGATTCCATTTTGAGGTTATGTATTCCTGTTTTCCCCAAGTTTATGAAATCCCCTAACATTACTAAAGTTCCATTAACATCTGCATTACTTTTAATTGTTTTCATTTAATTAAATAATATGTAACAAAATACAAATCTTGTTGTTAATTATTTATTTCAGGCTCTGCATGGGAAAGATCTTTATATCGAATTTAGTGGTAACTTAACACCAATAACCAAATCAGGAGTACAATTGAAATTTACTTTCAAAGCTTTCCGACAAAATCGTTTATCGTTTCACGTTAAAGTGAAAGATCCATTATTGGATCCTGTAGCAAGAATGTTGTTCATGCGTGAACCAAAAGTTGCCAAGGGTGAACCACCCCAACAACCAATTTGTGTTTTGAATATCGTATTACCGGAGGTTACCACCAAAATGGAAATACAAAAGAAATTAACAGGTGATATATAAACATTTATTAAATCAATTTATTTTTTTTTTATGAAATTAATCAAAATCCATTTTTGTCAATTGTTTGTTGTTAACTTTTAATCAAGTTTATCATCACCTAGAAACTTTATTAATTAGATCTACAAATTTTTATTAGTTATTACAATACTAGTTATTTGCAATAAAGACTTGAATTTAGAAAAGAACAAAATGGTGGAAACAAAGTTGTACACACCTGATAAATATTTAAACATTTTGGAAGAAAAAAAGAAAGAAAGAAAAAATACAAAAATGGATTCGATTGAATATTGAATAAATTGAACGAATTAATATCTAATACTTTTTTTTTCTCCTCAACTATATAATTATAATATTGTTTTGTTTGTTTTGTTTCTTTTCATGGCAGCTTACGAAGATTCGAATATAATAAGTCAAAAAATGGACTTTTACAAATCAAAATACGGTATGGAACAGAAGGAGAAAGGTGACCAGCCGAAAGATACTTCACCATCAGAAGAAAAATTCATTGCTGATACTTTGCAGAAAGAACAAACAGGTACGATATATATATTATCTCATTAATATATTACATAATAATATAATATAGAAATTAAATTCATTGAATATATATTAATTATTATGATTAAGAATATTTTTGATAAACATTTAAACACACACATGCACAACATTAGAATTAAGTTAATCACTGAAACGAAAAAAACAAATCAGTGGGTTTTTTCTGTTTTGCAATGCAAGGTGCAAAAAGAAGAAAACGTTTGTTTTTTTTTTCTACGAATAGGAAGATTAACAATTATAATATTTAGAATGATATAAATAATCTTACGTTTAATAATAATAATAATAATAATAATTATTATTATTAAATAAACGCGCGTTATATTATATTGATAATTATTTTCTTTTATTTCTATTGTATTATTCGTTAAGAGAGAAAAAAAAAAAAAAAAAAAAAAAAAAAAAAAAAAAAAACTATTTTCTTTTTTCTACTTGTTATATTTAAGGTAAAAATGTCAATCCACTTATGGCTTAAAAGATCGAACGTGAGAGGCTTCAATAATTTAATTATACACGTTAAGAGTCTCAACAAATGCTCTAGGAAGGTGCCGAGACAGTTTTCTTTTAGTTTTAAACTGTTCGTCGAGGAGATAACACAGTCAAAATAATAGTTGTTTTACTTTTATTTAAGACCCATCCCCACCACCACATATATATATTTAATTATGCTTGAATAATATTCTCCTTTGAATCTATCTACGAAAACGTGAGTTTTCAACATTTGTTTCCGTTTTTTTTAAAAACGTCCTTCGGACATTTGCTTTTTTTTTCTTCTTTTTTTCTCACATATAATTGTATATATATATATAATTTTTTTTTTTCAATTTTATATGAAACCAAAAAAAAAATATCTCATTTATATATTTCTGCACAATAAGTTTTGATCTTTGTCGTACGTTTGTTTTTGTTTTTTTTTTTTTGGTATTCTTTCCCCCTTTATTAATTTTTCTCTCTTTTTTTTTTTTTTTTATGATTTTTCAGTTGCAGGTTTTTTTAAGTTGATTAGTAGTTTGCACTTAAAATACGCACGTTGAAAAAACAAAAGTATAATTATTAATATATATATATATATATATAAGAGACATATTACACACATAATAATAATTATTATTATTATTATTATATATACACATATATACATATATATACATATACGTGCAATACGAATAGAAAAGGAAAATAAAAAATAAAAAAAGGAAAGAAAAATCTAAATTACTATGGAAAAATCCGATGAAATGAATACAATAAACGAAACAATTACCATAAACGTTAATAACGATAATGAAAATATTGAAAATAAAAATAACGATGACAACAAATTGTCGATAAATAAAATTGATAATAATTCGTGCGAATTGAAACAAATGAATTCGGATATTAATGTAAAAGATGATGATAACAAAGATGTGGATGATAAACAAAAATTAACAATATCGAAAAATTGTTGTCAAATGAATTCGTGCATGGATGAATGTAAAATGTTAATAAACAACGACGATGAAAATTGTTCGAATTCGTCTAAAGAATCAAAGGAAGAATTTAACGATGATAATAAAAATAAATCAATCAACGTAGATAATCAAGATGAAACAAATGTATCTAAAGTATGTTGCAATTTAGATCAAAATAATCCGGAAAATTTCAACAAATCTTGTCAAAATACCAAATCGAAAGAAACAACAACAACAACAACAACTGTTACATCGTGTACGAAACAAAAACGTAAATCAAGGTCAACGAGAAAAAGATTAAATGCAATGATAAGTAACGCATCAATGCACTTTTCTGACACCGATTCGGAAGGTGAATTGGTTATTATGGAAGCTTATGGTCGTCCACATGGTAGTCCTGTTAAATTAGGTCAAGGTCCAATGATTTCAGTAACCATGGATGATATAGAAAATAATGACAAATCTAATTTGAATCCTCAACATTTGATGACGATATCTTCGACACCTGTTTTCAATAGATCCAGATGTGGTAGTTACGTTGAAAATTTAACTGACGTTGATGAGATTTATAGCAGTGACCTTGACAATGAAACCCAACAACAAAATCAATTGATGGAAGGTGATAGAAAAAGTTTGAAAATAAATGAAATTAATTGTCAAATTGAAACTGACGTTGAAGATTTGTCAAATGATGAAATTGATCAGACAATTATTTATTTGACACCAAGAACCGATATTTTATGCGAATTTAGTGGTGAAACTATTACAACCAAGGAAGGTGATGGACCATTTTCCATTGAGACACGTAATCGAATCTTCAAGGAATCCAAAATTAATGAAAATCCTAATTCGTTTGATACCATTACGATATTACCAAGTACTGATAGCGAAGATATTGAAATGTCTGATGATAATGATAATAATGATGATAATAATATACAAAAAGCTTCTACCAGTCAACGTGTTTTATATGATGATTTGGATGTTTTAACAGCTAGTCAAATCGTTATGACTAACGTTAATAAAACTGATAACATGCTTAGTATTAAAGATACTAATCAGGATGATTTAAATATCGGTGATTGTCATACCGATGTTGAAGATGTTGATTGAATTTTATCTATTTCATTTATAATATAATCATTGTATTTATAAATATGGGAAAAACATAAGCAATAATGTGGATACATATATATATATACATATATGTTACCGTCATAGCCGAAAATCCGCCATTGCTGGTAATTCCATGGCATTCTTATCAATGCAAAGAGCCTTCCGATGAAGTCGGAAACAGAAGAATTCTTACCAAAAGTGATTTCAATGAAACTTATATTAAATTAAAGTACATTCTTTTGTCTACGCGTAGAATATCATATCGAGTTATAAAYTTAGCATGTTAACTTCAAATAATGTCCGAGAATGCAGTGCTGTAGATTGTGCATCTTTGCAATTTTTTTGAAAAGTTCAGATAAATATTTTTAATACTTTTAGCAAACGAATTTTAATGATTTTTATATTAAATTAAAGTACACTATTTTATCTACACGTAGAATACAAATTTGAGTTATAAATTAATTCGCAAAGGTTCATAAAWTGTCAGAGAATGCGATGCTGCACATTTTTTCCTACTTTGCCATTTCTTTAAAAACTTTCGGCAAATATTTTTTATACTAAAAGTGAATAGATTTTAATGATTTTTATTTTAAATTAAAGAGCACTCTTTTATCTACAAGTAGAATATAAATTTGAGTTATAAATCAATTCGCAAAGGTTCAAAAAATGGCAAAGAAAAGTTGGCGGACTAGGCATTGTTCACATTGCCTAAAACCAGGCATTGTTAACAATACCGGCCTAGGTTCCAAACCTCCCCCGGCAATGTTAACAATGCCTGGCCTTAGGCAATGTGAACAATGCCTAATCCGCSAACTTTTCTTTGCCATTTTTTGAACCTTTGCAAATTGATTTATAACT